GCTTCCGGAACAAAGTAATGAGCAGCACAAACTGGAGTTCCGAAGCCTGCGAAGTAGACCCAGTGCTGCTCGAAGGCGGAGAGGCACTCCTCCAGACTCTCCTGCTGCTGCTGCTGCTGCTGCTGCTGCTGCAGCAGCAGCAGGGGCTGCGCAGGGGTCCGCAGCAGCAGCTGCTGCTGCTGCGGACCCAGCTGCAACGCGCTGTCGGAGGAGGGCGCCCCCGCCCAGAAAGGATCGGCGGAGGCCTCTTCTTGCTGCTGCTGCTGCTGCTGCTGCTGCTGCTGCAGCTGCTGCTGCTGCTGCTGCTGCTGCACGTCGGCCGGCGCAGGTGCAAGCAACGCCGCGCCAGCGCCTTGCTGCAGCGCGTCGCCCCCGTCCCGGCTCCGCAGCAGCTGCTGCTGCTGCTGCACGTAGAACTGGGGCCGCTTGCGCTTCCAGCCGAAGCAAGAAAAAGAAAACATCCAACAAAAATTCAAAAGAGATAAACTTTTTCCAAAAAAGGGAATAAGAGGCAGCAGCAAAGATCCCTGACACCACCACACGTACTGCAGCACGAGCCGCAGCAGCGCGGCTTCCGGAGAGCTGCCTCGCAGGCCTTCTGCTGCTGCTGCTGCTCCTGCTGCTGCTCCTGCTGCTGCTGCTGCTGCCCCCGCTGCAGCGGCGCCGCCGCGCGGCGAAGCGCTGCGCGGGTAGCAGTACGGGCAAAGAAGCTGCTGCTGCTGCTGCTGCTGCTGCTGCTGCTGCTGCTGCAGGCTGCTTCCGGGGGCGCCGCAGCGGCGCGCCGCCGCAGCAGCTGCTGCTGCTGCTGCTGCTGCTGCGTCCTCTTCCTGCTGCAGCATTGCTGTTGCATGCTCAGCAACATCCACATACCACAAAAAGGAAGACACGCTGCTGCATGCATAAACAGGAAGCAGCAGCCCGTAGCGCAGCAGCAGCCAGCCAAGAGTTTCGAGTGGGGGAGTTGCTGCTGCTGCCCAGGCCTCTCCTGCTGCAGCGCCTGCTGCTGCTGCTGCTGCTGCTGCGGCCAGCGCCGGGCAGAGGGAGCCCGCAGCAGCAGCAGCAGGCACTGCAGCAGCGAGCCCCCAGGCCAGCCCCAGCAGCCGCAGCAGCAGCGCCAGCAGCAAAGATGCCAGCGGCAGCAGCAAATGCAAAAACAACAAAGACACAGCAGCATAAAGAAATCCATTTAATAAAAGACAACGCAAAGCTCTGCTGCGGATGAGTCTGCAGCCGCGGAGGAAGAAGCAGCAGCGGTGTACAGACACCCCGTCGCAGACCCCACGCGCGTACACCCCGCAGCACAGCTGCAGCAGCAGCAGCAGCTCAGCAGCTGCTGCAGCAGCAGCACGCCCCCGCGCTGCTGCTGCCAGCAGCAGGCCCCTCCACCTCTTCAGCCACGCCACCGAGCCCCATGACCCGCCGGAGCCTCCTGCTGCTGCTGCTGCTGCTCCTGCTGCTGCTGCTGCTGCTGCTGGCTGCGATGTTGCTGCTGCTGCTGACGGATGTGCTGCTGCTGCTGCTGCAGCAACAGGCAGGGGGCATCGTGCGCGGCGCTGAGGCTCAGCATGCATGTCGTGCATTGCTGCTACGCATGCGCAGCCTCCGTCGCCGCTGCTGCTGCTGCCGCTGCTGCTGCTGCTGTTGCTGCTGCTGCTGCTGTTGCTGCTGCTGCTGCCTTTACGGTCGCTGCAGTGATAGCAAAACTGATGGTTTTTGGGGCAGCAGTCTAAAATGCCTTTACTTCAGATTTGGTGCTGCTGCTGCTGCCTTTAAGTCGTTGGTCCCCGGTGCTGGGGCCGTTCCTGCTGCTGCTGCTGCTGCTGCTGCAGTTGCTGCTGCCGCTGCTGCTGCCGATGGAAAGGGCGCGTCGTTGCTGCAGCTGGCTGGTCCCGGCCCCAAAACAGACAGCAGGGCTTCGGGGAGCAGCAGCAGCAAGAGCAGCAGCAGTTGCTGCTGCAGAGGACCAGTGGTCTACGGTGTACAGACACTCCAGGAAGAGCAGCGCAGCAGCAGCAACAAACTTGGCAGCCGCGCTGAGGTGTACAGACACCTCGCTTGCTTCTCTTCGTTTTATTAAGAACTAATTTTCTCTTTTACGCAGCGCAGGCAGCAGAAGGCGCCAGGTGGCACCTGGGGGCCTCGCGCTGCTGCTGCTGCTGCTGCTGCTGCTGCTGTTGCTGCTGCTACTGCTGCTGCTGCTGGGGGTGTTTCTGGAATGTCTCTTCCAGCCGTCGAATTAAAGACACTGGGGCAGCCATAACGGAAGAAGCCCGGACTGCTACTGCTGCTGCCGCTGCTGCTGCTGCTGCTGCTGCTGCTGCTGCTGCCTTGATCTGCCAGGCTGTCTACACTGCGGAGCCCCGAGTCTTCTTTGCGTCAATTTAAAGACATTAGAAAACAAAAGGTCAAATAAACCCGACAGCAAATTAGATTTAGGTCCCGCTGCTTCGCAGCTGTGCAGCTACCGTGCTGCAGCAGCACCACTAGCAGCAGCAGCAGCAGCTGCTGCTGCTGCTGCTGCTGCTGCAGGTTCGGGGCCCCCGGAGCAGCAGCTCCACGAAGCAGCAGCAGCGGCCTCTTTTTGTAGAACCCAACGAATTTAAATTGTGGCTAAGACAGAAATATATTTGCTGCTGCTGTTTCCTTGGGGCCCTCCTCTTCGTTGCTGTCGTTGCTGCTGCTGCTGCTGCTGCTGCAGCAGGGGCCCACGCGGTACCTTTTGGCTCTGACGCTTCGGCTGCTGCAGCAGCAGCAGCTCTCACCCTTCCCTGCTGCACTTAGCTGCATCGGGCTTGCCTCGTTTCAGCCGCTGCAGCAGCAGCAGCAGCAGCAGCAGCAGCAGCAGCGTTTCCCCCTCCCCTTCCCCTCGTAGTAGCAGCCTCGGCAGCAGCAAAACGGGCAATCTGAATTCATTGTTAATTGGCAAGAAACAGCAGCAGCAGCAGATCTTGGAAGTGCTTCGCTGCTCACAACATCCTCCCCATCGTCAGCAGCAGCAGCAGCAGCAGCAGCAGCAGCAGCAGCAGCAGCAGCATCATCATCGCCACCACCACCCCTCCCCCTCCATCCCCAGCAGCAGCAGCAGCACCCCTCCCC